TCATCATGACCATCATCATCATCACCACATCCATCTCACCTCTCGCACGTTTTCGTGGCCCCATGAGGAGTTCCACCGAAGGCCCCAGGGGCATGGTTCGCATGGCGCGGCCCCGCCCGTTCGCTCCGGGTGTTCTTTCTTCGCTTTCGGCCCCTGGGGCCCGTCGTCGGGCCCCGGGACCCGTGGGAATGGATCCGGGGCGAAAACCTAGCCCGGGGGACGCGGTCAGGGCCTCTGGGGCCGCGCACTGAGAACATCTGATCGGCGGACGTCTGGGCTGAAAGCGCAGGGTCGGTCCCGCGCATGCGGCCCCCCCCGGGGTCGGGATTCTCAAGAAGAGAAGGTCAAGGGCACGAGCCTCGTGGAGCCGGGCCTTGCTTCAGCTCGGCACCCCCGGGTGGGCCCCGGGCGGGCCACTCTCGGCGACGCCGAGCGGCGAGCGGCGAGCGACGGAGGGACGGACGGATGACGAAGGATGGTCGGACGGACGACTCGCCATGGACGGAGGGACGAGCGACGGCGACGGACGGGCAACCGCGGCGATGAAGGACGCACGACGAACGACGTCGACGGGCCTGACCTGCCAGAGCCTCGCTTCCGTGCTAGATCGGCCGCTTACAATTAGCTCCCATGTTACGGATCTGCCAGTGTGCAGCACGCTCAGGCCATCCCGAACGAACAACACACACAAACACCCATATCCACAGGGGGATCGGAGGGAGGAGGACTGGCTACGGGTATGGGTGCGGGTTGTCGGACCTTGGTGAAGGCTCCTGTTCAAGCGGAGACCCCCATCCGTCAACAAGCGCCCATAGCCCCCTCCGTCCCCCGTACGAAGGGGAACTTTCACATAGCGTGTCGCTCCACCAGTTTTGGCCCACTGCGCCTCGATGCGACACGGTATCCACTTCTCGGTCCCGAGGCGTCAACGTCCCGAGCCTTTCCGAGTCTTCCGACCCAGGGAGCGAAGCGACACGCCATCCGCTCGCAGGGGATATCGTGTTCGCGACCGTAGTTTACTCCTCCTCCTCCTCCTCCTCCTCCTCCTCCTTCTCCTCCTCCTCCTCCTCCTCCTCCTCCTTCTCCTCCTCCTCCTCCTCCTCCTCCTCCTCCTCCTCCTCCTCCCCCCCCTCCTCCTCCCTCCTCCTCCTCCTCCTTTCCTCCTCCTCCTCTCCTCCTCCTACTCTTCTCCTCCTCCTCCTCGTCCTCGCCTCCTCCTCCTCTCTCCTCCTCCTCCTCCTCCTCCTCCTCCTCCTCCTCCTCCTCCTCCTCCTCCTCCTCCTCCTCCTCCTCCCCCCCCTACGGCGACGACGACGACGACGACGACGACGACGACGACGACGACGACGACGACGACGACGACGACGACGACGACGACGACGACGACGACGACGTGCTGTCCGCTCGCCGCGACGAGCGCTCGCCCGCGCCGTGGCCAGCAGGAAGAGTCCGAGACTCGCCGCTCCCCCTCCCCACAGAACCCCCTCGCGTGGTGACAGCGAGCACGCCGGCGTGGCTTCTTGCTCTCCTCGGCCTCCGGCCTCCCAGGGCCCTTCATCACGAAGCTTCGGGGCCGTGGCAAAAACCATGCGGGATGAAGACCCTGTCCCGGGGAGTGGGTCGAGACCCCTGGTCAACGGCACCGTAACGGGTACTTACTAACGGGTACTTTGCAATTTTGCCGAAAGTTGCCACTTTAGGGCCTCTTTCTGGGAATGCAGCGTTGCCCGCATCGGGAAGGGTTGGGTTCGCTGGGTCACTGGCCAAAGTACCCGTTAGTGGAGTCCCCGTTCGTGGGGCGCTGACCTGGGGGGTCGACGTCAGGATGACGATGACGAGGACGAGGACGATGGCGACGGAGAGGGCAGAGGCAAGGATGGGGGACAACCAGGGAGGAGGGGGAGGAGGACGGAGAGGGGGCAACGCGGGGCGCTCTGCCTCTGCAAATCGTGGACCCAACACCACAGGAATGTTGGGACAAGTCATGCCGTCGGGGATCTGGGCCCCCGGGCCGCGGGCGTCGCCCGCCCGCGAGCGCTGGCCCGGGGGAAAATGCTGCGGCGGGGCTGGCCCGGCGGGGCGGTGGTGCGCCGACGGGCGGCCCAGGCGCAGGCCCTGCCCCCCGGAGCGGGCAGCCCAGAACTCCTCGCGCCTCCTCCTCCTCCTCCTCCCTCTCCTCCTCCTCCTCCTCCTCCCTCTCCTCCTCCTCCTCCTCCCACTCCTCCTCCTCCTCCTCCCTCCTCCTCCTCCTCCTCCTCCTCTTCCTCCTCCTCCCCCCCCTCCTCTCCTCCTCCCTCGGCCTCCTCCTCCTCCTTTCTCCTCCTCCTCCTCCTCCTCCTCGCTCCTCCTCCTTCTCCTCCTCCTGCCTCTCCTCCTCCTCCTCCTCCTCCTCTCCTCCTCCTCCTCCTCCTCCTCCCTTCCTTCCTCCTCCTCCCTCCTCCTCCTCCTCCTCCTCCTCCTCCTCCCCCGCACGCATCCTCCTCCTCCTCCTCCTCCTCCTCCTCCGCCTCCTCCTCCTCCTCCTCCTCCTCCTCCTCCTCCTCCGTCTCGCGTTGCGAACAATAATCACGACGGGAGGTTTTTCGCTATTTTCGGCCTGCGGGGGCCCTTGCCAGGGCTCGGGGCCGCCAAGAAACGGTTCAGGAGGCAAACATCACGACGGGAGTTTTTTTTTTTTTTTTTTTTTTTTTTTTTTTTTTTGTTTTTTTGTTTTTGCAATTTTCGGCTTCCGTGGGCCCTTGCCAGGCCTCGGGTCCGTCAAGAAACGGTTCGGGAGGGAAAGCTGGTCCTGAGGAAAGGGTCCAGATCTCTGGGGGTGGACGTTGTGACAAGAATCACGACGTGGCGGGTCTGAGAAGGGGGTGCGACTCTGGGAGACTGATTTCCCAACCAACATGTGATTTGGGTCCTCGTTTTGAAGAGACAGCGCCCCGCGTTCCTTCCTTCTTTCCTTCCTTCCTACTCCCCCTCCTCCCTCCTCCCATCCCTGCCTCTGCCCTGCGCATGTCCTCGTCGTCGTCGTCGTCGTCGTCGTCGTCGTCGTCGTCGTCGTCGTCGTCGTCGTCGTCGTCGTCGTCATCATCATCATCATCATCATCATCATCATCATCATCATCATCATCATCATCATCATCATCATCGGCATCATGGCCCCACAGGGAGTTCCACCTAAGGTCCCAGTGGCGGTGTTCGCATGCGTCTCCCCCACCCAGCACAGCGTTTCGCTGGTCCCACAGTGAGCTCCACCTAACGCCCTAGTGGGGGTGTTCGCATGCGTCTCCTCCACACAGGACAACGTTTCGTGGCCCCACAGGGAGCTCCACCTGCGGCCCCTGTGGCGGTGTTCGCATGCGTCTCCCCCACCCGGGACAACGTTTCGTGGCCCCACGGGGAGCTCCACCGAAGGTCCCAGTGGCGGTGTTCGCATGCGTCTCCCCCACCCAGGACAGTGTTTCGCGGCGCCACATCGAGCTTCACCTAAGGCCCCATTGGCGGTGTTCGCATGCTTCTCCCCCACCCACGCCCAAGCGTTACTGTTACCCAAGGCCCCTACCCCCCCTCTGGGTAACGACCATTATTGGAAAGAATGCGAAGTGAATCTCTCGGGCGTTGCGTAATGGGGGGGATCACTGGTATGTTTGTATTTTATATATATATATATATATACATGTACGTTTGTGTGTGTGTGTGTGTGTGTGTGTGAAGGAAGGTGCGTCTCTTTCGAGGGGCCCTGAAGGGCCCCTCCCCCTGGGGCCCAAAAGGGGGACGAGAGGTGCACGCTTCTCCCCCCATGTATCGCGTCCCCCATTACAGTAGGAGCTCGACCACAAGAGGCCTTCCACAAGAAGCCCAACCTTGAGACCCCAGGCCGTCCATTGATTTTTTGGTGTGGGAGCGTCGCGTTTTCCATCGCAGAGCCATCGACGCCCGAGACACCCAGGGCACCCTGGAGTCAAGCAGGGTGCTTCCTGGCATGGGTCTCCACTGTAAGCCACGCCCGAATCCCAAACAACCCTTTTCTCCTTTGTCCGTGTGGTTTTTTTGGGTTGCTGTTGGGCCTGCCTCCACGCGCTCCCAGGCCGCGCTCGGGCGCGCCCTCTTCGCGCAGGGGAAGGGGCGGCGGGGGGAGTGGCCGAGCGCCGGCTCGAGCGCTGGGAGCGGGCCTCCACGAGTGGAGAGGAGGAGGAGGAGGAGGAGGAGGAGGAGGAGGAGGAGGAGGAGGAGGAGGAAGAGAGAGGAAAAGGAGGAGAGGAGGAGGAGGAGGAGGAGGGAGGCGGGAGGAGGAGGAGGAGAGAGGAGGAGGGAGGATGACGGGGAGGGTGTGTAGTGGAATGGGGGGAGGGCGAGGGCGGGGGAATGACGTGGAAGAGGAGGAGGAGGAGCGAGGAGGAGGAGGAGGAAGAGGAGAAGGAGGAGGAGGAGGAGGAGGAGGAGGACGAGGTTTACAGCGCTGTCTGGGGATATTGGACTCTGGCTGTAATGCTTTTTTTGGGGGGGCGGGGGAAGATTCTTTGGCCAGCCTGGCTGGGGGAAGCAATGTGGCGGCCTTCTCAGAAGGCTCGGAAGTCTCCGCCGGCCTTCTGAGAATTTGTCAGGAAGCCTTCCCCGAAGACACGGGACTCCGTTCACAAGGCCGGAGGGCTTTTGAGAAGCGCCGCCGCCTTCTGATCCGACGAAGGCATCTATACACCACCACCGTGGCAGATCAGGGCCATCCTGGGCCGTAGGATGGTGTATAGACCCTCCTGGCTCGGCCAGGAGGGCGTATACACCATCCTAGGGCCCAGGATGGCCCTGGCCTGGCACGGTGGTGGTGTATAGATGCTTTCTGCGTATCTGAGAGAGTCTCCTCCTCCTCCTCCTCCTCCTCGTCCTCCTCCTCGTCCTCCTCCTCCTCCTCCTCCTCCTTGCTTCCCCCCCCTTCGCCCGCCGCCGAAACATGCTCTTCCGGCAGCCGGGGGCCGCCGGGGTGTGCCGCTCGCCTCTGGCCCCGCCCGCAGCGGGCGGGGCCTCGCGGGCTCCCCGACGGTGGGCCAGGCCCTCGACTCGTGGGCGGGCCGCCTGGGCAGCATGGTCAAGCGCGTGTGGCAGTTCCTGCAGATGGTGCTGAGCTTAGCTGCACAAGACCACCAACAGCGACACGACCACAGTTTCTGTTGTTTCAGAAAGTACATATTTTGATATAGTATATTTTTTACTTACATATATATATATATATGTATATCTACAGATTTTAAGCAATGAAGCAGAGTTGGCCAGAGTGTATGGTATGCGCCGTTCGAGTGGTGCCAGCGCCACCGCCCAGCCCCGCGTGGGGCCGTCCCCCTCGGACGACACGGGCGCAGTCGCCAGTCTCCCGTCTCCAGGTACGCCCGGGAACGCAACGCGCACCGTGTTCAGAAATCGTCCGAAGGGCACGTGTTGGCCCCACGTTTCGGCCCTCGTCTCGAGCCAGGCCTACGTCTTCAGTCTGCGTGGTGAGCTCCGTGCCAACACGTCCCGTGTTGCGCGTGGCGTGCAGGGGCAGCCGAGGTGCTGAAGTACGCGAGCCCGCACGGCATCCAGACCATGGAGGACGCCCGAGCGCCCCCGCGTGCCGGGGGGGAAGGGGCCCTCGAGAGCCTGGCGCGGCAGCTCTTCCGCAGCGGGCGGCCTTTCGCCTCGCCTCGGGGGCCCCGGGGGTCCGTCGCGGATCGATGCGGCTCGACAAGAAAGTGCCGCCGAACGAGGGGGTCCAGGGCTCCAGCCGGGACTCGTCGCGATGCCGCCAGGTGTTCGCGTCACGTCGGGCGTGTCCCTCTGCAGGAGGAGAGTCCCAAAACAGTCAGACATGGTCCGGGCACGATCCTAGGAGTAGATTTGTCTGAGGATCCTGGGGTATGTTTTGGACTATTTCTTTCAGTCCTTCGCCCCAGATCCGTCTGCAGGAGGACGTGCCCGACCCGCTGTTCGCGGCGTCGGGCCTCGGGGGGTGGGGCCGCGGAGGGGCCGGGCGCCCGGGCAGCACAGGGGCGCCCGCGTGGGGCAGGCTGCCCCCGAGGGCCCCGGCGCCGGCGCTGTCCCCTCCCCCGCGCGCTCCCGCTTGGGCAGCGAGTCGCTGGCGACGTGGTCTGTGATCGAAGCCACGTGTGTGGTCAGCAGCATACTCCCACACGCTCCTGCTCCTCCTCCATCCCCCATCCTCCCCCATCCTCCTCTTCCTCCTCGCTCCTCCTCTTCCTCCTCGCCTCCTCCTCCTCCTCCTCCTCCTCCTCCTCCTCCTCCTCTCCTCTCCTCCTCCCTCTCTCCTCCTCCTCCTCCTCCTCCTCTCCTCCTCCTCCTCCTTCCTCGCTCCTCTCCCTCGCTCCTCCTCCTCCCTCCTCCTCCCTCCTCCTCCTCCTCCTCCCTCCTCCTCCTCGCTCCTCCTCCCTCGCTCCTCCTCCTCCTCCTCCTCCTCCTCGCTACTCCATCCTCCTCGCTCCCTGGCGCGCGCAGCGCGGGCCCTTGAGAGGCCTCCCCCGCCGGGGCCCCGCTGCTGAGGCTGTGCGCCTGCCCTGGCCCCCGGCCTGGCCCACCCTGGGCCCAGGACCGGCACCAGACTTTTGGCGTCTCTAATCCTCCCAGATGGGGTCCGAGTAGATGGGGTCGGAGGATCGCGCCGCATCGCCGATGCATCGGCGATGCGGCTCGATGCGGAGACCGTGTTTTCCCACGCCGACGTCGCCGATGCATCGCCGACGTCACCGATGCATCGCCGATGCATCGCCGATGCATCGCCGATACATCGGCGACGCATTGGCGATGCGGCGCGATCCGTCGACCCCATCTACTCGGACCCCAACTGGGGCCTCTAACGTCGCGAGATGCAGCGGGGTCGACGACACGTAAGAGTGACCTTTCGCCGGAGTGACCTGTGGTGCGGGCCCAATGGGGTCCCCCGATCGCAGAACTCGGTGCGGCAGTAGCGTCTTGGGCGCCCGTGTTCGGTCCCCCCGCGGCCCCCCCAAGGCCGCGCACCAAACAGGGTCACTCTTGCGTGTAGTCGATGGGGGCGCGCATCAAGAAACCATCTGCTTTTCGTCAGGGTACCCTGGGTTTCTTCGCTCCGCGCGCCGCGCGGTGGCTTCCCGCAGCCGGGGAAGAAGCGGCTGCGTTCAGGGTGCTCCAGGTGTCCCCTCAGGTGCATCTCGCGCACGGGTTCTCAGAGTTGAGTTTCTTGCGAGGGTTTCTTGCGGCCGCGCCCGCACTGTAATGGATCGGGAGCCTTGAGACGGGGGTCACTGCGAACGGGGGGCAGCCAGAGCGCCGGATCTTGCAGGATCCTGCAGAGCCAGGGGTGCATTGACCCGGGCTTGCCTGCACGATCCTGCAGGATCTTGCAGAATCCTTCCAAGCCTGACTCGCCCATGCTTGCATTGATCTGGGTCAGTGGATCCTCGAATGGAGACGGAGGTTTTTCGTGGTTTTCGGCCTCTCGGGGCTCTCGCCGGGCCTCGGGGCGGTGAAGAGCAACGACTCGCGATGACGAGCCGGTCCCAGGGATGTGGTCGAGAGGTCGGGTGCCCGTGTCTTGAAGAGGTCGGGGCGCCCGATGTGTGGGCCCGCGTGCCCAGCTTCTGGCGGAGTGACTTCTTCAAGCCCCGGCGCGTTTTTTTTTTGTTGTTGTTCGTTTGTTCCTATTGTTTTTTGTGTGTTTTTGTTTTGTTGCTGTTTTTCAGTGTTTTTCTTCTTCTTCTTCTTCTTCTTTTTTTATTTCCCTCGACCTCTGTCCCTTCGGGGCCGCGCGCAGGCCCCCTGGGGCCACCAGGAAGCGGATCCGCGGCGAAAGGCTGCCCCCGAGGAAGGGGTCGGGAGCCTGGGGCCGCGGATGGAACCGATCGCATCGCCGCGTGTCCGGCTTCGGCATGGTGAGAGCGCCCGCAGAGCCTCGTGGAGCAGTTCGTGCGTGACGCGCCCAACGAGCTCGTCGACATCGCCCACGACGTCGCCAACAGGCCGTGGGGGAACTCGACGGTGATGGAGTTCGGGGTGTGGCCAAAGCTGCGCGCCTTCCTGGCCGACCTCCAGGCGGGCCTCTCGCCTCCCCGCGCGCCCCGCACGCACGGGCCTCTCACGATTTTTTCGTTTTGGACAGTTTTTCGATGCCCAGCCCTGGAGGAGGAGGAGGAAGAGGAGGAGGAGGCGGAGGAGGCGGAGGAGGAGGAGGAGGACGAGGAAGACGAGGAGGAGGAGGAGGAGGAGGAGGAGGAGGAAGAGGAGGAGGAGGAGGAGGAGGAGGAGGAGGAGGAGGAGGAGGAGGAGGGGGGAAGGAGGAACAGAAGGAGGAGGAGGAGGAGGAGGAGGAGGAGGA